GCAGGGGAGGGAGGGTGGGTGGGAGGTTATCAACCAAACACCTTGCATGTACAACCCATGGACACAGACAATAAGTTGGGGAAGGTCTGGGGCAGGCTGGAGGTGGTCAATGGGGAAAAAGGGGACATATGTAACACCTTCAACAATAAAGATTAAAATTAAATAAATAAATAGATAAAGAGCCGGGCTGTGGAGCTATTTCGGCCTCCACACAAATATTTACCCTGCAACTTGGCAGGATGAACTGAGTTAGCACTGGACGCCTGGTCAGGGCCCCACACCGGTGGGCCCGAGCTCGAGGGCAGGAGAGGAAGGACACGGGCTTCCATCCGTGGGTGTTGGGGCCGCTCCAAGGGCCCAGGACCGCCCAGCCCTACGGGGGCTGCAGAACGGGGTGACACTTCCTGATGGGGGCCTGTCTGGCAGTCTGGTGCCTGTTCCCCCATGCCCACGTGTCCCGGGAGCCCCAGCTCTGGGCCAGCCTGCCAGGAGGACTGTCAGCCGGGAACTGGGCTGGCTTGGGGCCCAGAGCCTCTCTGCAGCCACTGGGGAAGCCCAGGCCACTGCGGGGATGTCAGCCAGACTGAACAGGGGGCCACTGCTCCCCAACTTCCCAGCCTCCACATGCGGTGTCTGGGCTTGGCATTCAAAGGCCCACGTGACAGGAACCAGGCAGCACCGCCCGGTGTGCCAGCCATGGGCTCTCGGTGTGGGGAGCGGGGAGGGCCTTTCCGACCTGGGACCCGGGAGAGAGGTCGGCCCTCAGGGAGGCAGCCTTTCTGAGAGGAGAGCCCTGTGCACAAGGGCTATGGGTGACTCTCCTGACTCACCGTGAGGAGGGTGGTGAGCACTCACGCCTGTCTCTCACCTCGTGTGCACGTGTCACTTGAGGTTGAACAACCCCGTGCACACGGGCACACGTGTTCAGAGTGCACAGGTGCCCAGGTGGGATGGACATCTGTTCTGTGTGGTGCATGTGAGTGTGTGCATGTGTGCATGCCCCAGCAGTGAGTCTGCATACGCAGGCTGGCCACACACGGACCTGCACCTGCACAGGTGTGACAGTTTAACGACACGTGCACTCAGCCGTGCACCCAGCCAAGGTTCCACGTGAGAACCTCCGAGAGACGGAGCAGGTGCCCCCATTCCCCTCCAGGCTGCCCCAGCCTCTCTCGTCAGCACACCCTCCCCGGGCCCGGGCAGCACAGGCTGGGTACTGACCAGGGACTGCACGATGGCGTGGTTGGTGGCGTTCATGCAGGAGTCCAGCGGGAAGGAGCACTCCCCCTCACAGTAATAGGCTGAGTAGCCTTGGGGGGCGATGACCCAATCCTGGGTGGGGAATGGAGAAGGTGAGTCCCACCATGTGGCCCCTCACGCCCCTCCCACGAGCACCTGTCACAGGAGGATTCAGGGCTGCCCCTCTCCCTCCCTCCC